AGAACTCCAGACCAGGGTTCTAGACCTGGACTCCAGACCAGAGCTCTGGACCAGAACTCCAAACCAGGGCTCTAGAACTCCAGACCAGGACTCCAGACCAGGGTTCTAGACCTGGACTCCAGACTAGGGCTCCAGACCAGAACTCCAAACCAGGACTCTAGAACTCCAGACCAGGGTTCTAGACCTGGACTCCAGACCAGAACTCCAAACCTGAGCCCTAGACCAGAACTCCAAACCAAGGCTCTAGAACTACAGACCAGGGTTCTAGACCAGGACTCCAGACCAGGGCTCTAGAACTCCAGACCAGGGTTCTAGACCTGGACTCCAGACCAGAACTCCAAACCTGAGCCCTAGACCAGAACTCCAAACCAAGGCTCTAGAACTACAGACCAGGGTTCTAGACCAGGACTCCAGACCAGGACTCTAGAACTCCAGACCAGGGTTCTAGACCTGGACTCCAGACCAGAACTCCAAACCTGAGCCCTAGACCAGAACTCCAAACCAAGGCTCTAGAACTACAGACCAGGGTTCTAGACCAGGACTCCAGACCAGGGCTCTGAACTCCAGACCAGGGTTCTAGACCTGGACTCCAGACCAGAACTCCAAACCTGAGCCCTAGACCAGAACTCCAAACCAGGGCTCTAGAACTCCAGACCAGGGTTCTAGACCAGGACTCCAGACCAGGACTCCAGACCAGGGCTCTAGAACTCCAGACCAGGGCTCTAGAACTCCAGACCAGGGCTCTAGAACTCCAGACCAGGGCTCTAGACCTGGACTCCAGACCAGAACTCCAAACCTGAACCCTAGACCAGAACTCCAGAATAGGGCTCTAGAACTCCAGACCAGGGTTCTAGACCTGGACTCCAGACCAGAACTCCAAACCTGAACCCTAGACCAGAACTCCAGACCAGGGCTCTAGAACTCCAGACCAGGGCTCTAGAACTCCAGACCAGGGCTCTAGAACTCCAGACCAGGGCTCTAGACCAAAAGGCCAAATGTTTGCCATTAAGGCAACATTAACTCACAAATAATTAGTTAATAATTTAATAAACATAAAGTTCTTTATCTGAACCAGAACTGGACAGGTCATTCTGGATCTTTGGTTTTGGGTAAATGAATGATGAACACAGAATAATGATTAACAACAGAAATATTATTAATATTTATTAAAAATGTAAAACTTTTTATAAATAAAATGAAAAATCTGCTATTTAATTAGCATTAGTTGACTCTTATGTATCTCTCACTTAAATAACATCAAACTATTTCAGATACCTGGAATGTAACTGTGGTGACGCCGATTAAATGTAAAAACTGCTTGCCATATACATGAGCTTCCTCGTGTGGCTGAAATGATTTGCTGCTGTCCTTCTGGCGGAACTACTGGAAAATTTTGTTTTTCTGGTTGTTTTCCACAAAAAGAATAACTATTTAGCTTCATTTATTTAGAAATACAGGAAATAATAAGTTTACTTTACAAAATCTACTGGAAACATATTTACCAGTGTTCCTCTGCAAAAACTACCAACAATTAGTAAATGCTATAAGGCTCTGTGTAATGTAAACTCAAAATGTTTGTTGTTGATGAACTAAAATAATACTTTCCTGGTAGTTTTCCCAAAAGAAAAAAAAGTTAATTTTGTACAGCTAAAATAACTTTCCATAGACCTGAGCTTAATTCCATTAGATGTTTATGTTTTTAATTTTACTTTTAAACGTGCTTCATGTTCTTATAATTCTTATTTCCTAACAATATTTGAATTTGTTACTTAAATGTACGGCTGCCTATCTCAGCCAGAACTCCTCTGAAAAGGTGGTTTTTAATCTCAAGATTTTTTTCATGGTAAAATAAAGGGTTAATAATAAAATTAGAGTATTTTTTTATTTAAACTGTAAGGTAAATCAGATAATCCTTCAGATTAACAAAGTTAAAAGAAGATTTGTCTGATTACAAGTCTTTTATAAATAAACCTAAAGATTAAATCAGATTAAAGATGTTACCCATGTAGGCCACGTCCTTCCAGTCCAGCTTCTTCTTCTCCACGACCGGCTGAATATCGCTGAACGGTTCGTCTGCCACCATCATGACCTCGCAGCCCGTTAGATTCTTCAGCTTCTCAGTCATCGACGCCAGGACCCGGTCGTCCCTGGAGACCAGCAGCACCACCTGCAGGAGAGAGGCGGAGCTCAGCGAGGGCGCCGACGCCGGACCAATCGACGGCTGGGAAACCGAACCTCCACGTCGTCTTTCTGCAGCATCCTGATTCCTGCCGTGTCTCTGGTGTGGACGGACACGCTGTCCTCTCTGGATGCAGACAGAAGGACTTTTCCATCCGTTAAACATCCAGAAACCTTCAGGAACATCAGGGACACGCCCCGGCCGAAGTAACCGTACCTGTTGGAGGAACAGAATGAGACCCGGAGAAACCGAACGGTTGTTCTCTGGGAGTTGAAGCTCACCTGAGGACCCTCTGCTCCGCCACGGGCCAGTCGATGTCCACGTCGATGTCCACGCTGTGCTGCGGCTCCATCTCAAAGTAGGTCACTTTCCCGCCCTGGACAGAGTCCGACACAGAGGTCAGTCCGGTTCTGAGCAGAGACCCTGTCAGCCACCTAACACCGGAGGAACCGGTACCTGCAGGCGCCCCTCCTCCAGGACCAGCTCTCTCTTGCAGATATAGAACGAGCCGTTCTCGTAGAGCTCACCGTCCCAGTCCTGACGCCGCGGACGCTTGGCGGGGTCCAGATTCTCCGGGTGAGTGCATTCATCGCCTGGACAAAGATTTATTTACGCTCTTTAAGGGTTTTGATAAATAAAAACAAACACGTCAACAAACGGGAAGTAACGGCCGACTCACTTCCCTCCTTCACCTCCGTCCAACGGAACTGGTGCCTCCGGACCACCGAGAAGACGGAGTCGAAGGGGCCCTCCAGGACCTTCTTCAGGGCCTGCTTGAGGTGAGACGGGTGGAGACACGGAGACGTGGCCTGGATGTTACAGATCACGTCCACGTCTTCTCACAAAGAACAAGAAATATTTAAAACAACAAATAAATAAGTAAATAAATAAATAAAATTTAAAAACAGTCATTTTGGGTTCTGGTACCTTCGTTGTCCTCGAGAAACTCCTTAATGGTTTCCAGGGAGGTCGAGGAGTCCCTGGAGACTTTGCGACTTCTACGGTGGACTTGGGCGCCCCAGGATTTCGCCACTTTTTCGATGTCGTCGTGGTCAGTCGACACCCAAATACTAAAAAACGGGATGTCAGAATCTTCATTTAAATAAAAAAATAATTAGACTAAGAAAAAACATTTTTATATATCATTGTTTTATTACCTTTCATTGCATTAATCGAAACGACACATTGTGCAGAACAGTGCACAAAAAAAACTTTTTATGAAGAACCAAAATGAATCAGTAGCTACATCACGCTGGACATCGTTCCCATAATTCAACCAAGGCATCATGGGGGCCAGGAATACGTACTAAGTCACTAAGTAAGACTTTATTTCCATATAAATTTTTAATAAATAAATTTAGAGAGGTCTCATAAAATTACACACAAATACTATCCAGCTAATCACTATATGTTAAAATTCAAAAAGGATATTAACTCTAGGGCTGCCACAAACGATTATTTTTATAATCGATTAATCACCGATTATTTTTTTCGATAAGTCGACTAATCAGATCATACGTTAATTGAATATAAAACATGCAGCTCATCGCACCAGAATACAGCTGCTATTATATAACCATCATTAGATTTTAGCTATATGCTAACTAAAA